CACAGCGCCGGGCGCCCGGCCGCCACTCACCTTGATGCGCGCCATCATGGTGCCCAGGGCCGCGTCCAGCGCCCGCAGCGCAGCCCGGCGCTGGGGGGACGCGGGCCCGTAGTGATGGCCTTCCACGTCCACGCGCTCGTAGTACACGGCGGCCATCTCGGCGCTGCCGTTGCTGCAGGGGGACAGGGAGAAGGAGGGAGATGCTGAGACGCGCTGACACCTCCCGGCTGCTGGTGTGACTGTCCTCCCTGCCACACGGAGCCACCAAACCCCATCTGCTGCTCCCAGCCCACGCTCTCCTGCCTGCTGTCACATGGGTGGGTGGTTATTCAGTGCCCAAAATGAGTTTGCGTGAGATTCCCATCAGAGACACCAGGTAGGGAGCACCAGGTGAGAGCACCGGCTGGCCTGGCAGCCTTTACTGCCTCTTCAAATCAGGAAGGCAGCTTTTCCTTCATGACAAAGACAGACCCAGAAGAAATACTAATTTCTGTGCTGAATGCCCTTATTAGAAGGATTGTGGGAAGTGCCAGCTGAATGTGCCTTAATTAAAGTTTGGCACTTCTGGCCTTCTCCTGTGTTCGGTCTTCCAAACCACTGAGGTCAACTCAGGACAGGCTCTTCCATGACCTTGCAAAATCCTCAGTGGTGAGAATTGGGGTGAGACTTTGGATGGGGTTTTTATTCAGGAATGTGACCAGAGGGAAACTGAGGCAATCTCAGAGCTGCACAAGTTTAGCTGACCATACGTTTCTACACAGAAGGCCCTCAGCCTCATAAGTGGGGACTGCATGTGTATCAGTGCTTAATTATATTTTCATGACCACTTTACAGTTCACTGTAAGGCTCCCTGGGAGCAATCATATGGATAAAATTGCAAATCTATGCTCATGAAGTCCAAACCCAGTCTTTTTCTAGCGTACTTAATATATGACGGGGTATGCCATCCATAATACGTGCCCTCACCCAGATCAAGGTCCCTCCAAAAGACTTTGTGATTAAAGATTTTTGAGCAGTCTGGTGTAATGAGTGAGACACAAGAGAAAAAAATGAGAGGTGAGGGACTGATTGAATGAATTAGGGTCTCTAATTTACATTCGTAAGCTTTTTGAAAGCCTCAGAGGAGCACTCCTGCAGGAAGCTGAAGGTCTCTGCTTTGGTGGGAATTTCTCCACTGTGGGTCCTGCAGAACAAGTGGTTTTTCTCACTCTTCAGGATTTAAAAAAGCATACAAATGAAGCAGCCCTTCCCCCCCAGTTTTACTTTCCATCTATATTATGCATAAAATAATTTATAAAATTTAACCCTGTCATTTCAGTTACATACACACTCACTGAATTTATTGAAACAATTTTCTGCTGCTGCAATGCCTCTATGGATTAGCTACTGCTTTGTGTCATCTCACCTGTAACTATATGATTGTTTTGACCAAGATAAAAACCAAAAAAAAAGCATAAAACAATGGTCTTATTTAGGGTATGGTGAGGTTTCTCAGAGAGGGCTCAGTGCTGTGAGGATAAATGTTCAACTTTGCACATGACTTCAATGGAACAAGCCCCCATTACACTTAGGAGTTTGCAGGATCAGCTACAGTGCATCTAGAACTGGCAAAACTGAGTTTGGCTTTGTTTCCATTTTTTGCCTTCTTCCCTAAGAAAGCCAGGCATTTCTAACTTGTATTTCTAACTGTGTTAGTCCTGTCTGCTCCAATCACCAGTAACTTTCAAAAGAAATGGCTAAGGAAAGCTTGCTGAAGAAAGCTGGAGGGCATCGATGGCAACACCAAAAAGGGCTTTGTATTTTACCAACACACTTTGCAAGTGCCACATAAACTTCATGACACCTCTCCAGGAAGGCAGGCAGATTACAAGAGCCCTTAACTTACCAAAGGCAGGTTTTAGTTCCACTTGCCAAAAGTGGATGCTTTACTTAGTTTTGAATATTTTTGGTCTAAACAATGGTCTCAAAACATCTGTTTGAAGAGACTGGGAGGATATTCCTGAAGGATGGTTTCCTTTGGTTGGAAGAGGAGTTCAGTGGCTCCCTGATGAGTTAGGTAGTTCTGCCCTAGCAGAGGGCATTGATAAAATTTCCTTTTTCCCTGGCAAACTTAAGATGGCTCAGGATGTTCCCATGGCCAAATTCAAGTTAACCCCTAGGCCACTGTGCCACAACACAGGGCTTTCTCTACCCTGATGTCCCTGTAAGGTTTGCTACTGATGGGAGCACAAGTGCAGTTCATTAACCACTAATACCTGCCATTAGAGCAACTGAGCAAGGCACTGCTCCAGACACAGGCTGCCCTTGCCACTGGCTGTTTTCCCACATAAAGCCTCAGCCTAATAGGCTTCTTCAATTAGTTGTGGGTGTGGAAAGAGCCCACTGGATTTGCCAGCCTTTGAACAGCATCGAGTCTGAAGAAGCATTAAGAGTCAGAAGCTCTTGCAAAAGATGCAGATGGCAATGAAATGCAGGTCAAGACTCTTCTACCCAGAGATGCTAACTCCTGCTAAATGGATAAACTTACAATAAAGGCATCTCAGAGGTTCCTTTCATGGAATCACAGAATTGTCAGGGGACTCCACAGCCTCCCTAGGCAGCCTGTTCCAGTGCTTCTTCACCCTCACTGTAAGTTTTTCCTCACATTTAAATGGAACTTCCTATGTTCCAGCTTGTGCCTGTTGCCCCTCGTTCTGACACTGGGAACTACTGAAATGAGTCTGGCTCCATCCTCCTTGCATTCACCCTTTAAATACTTACAGGCAATGTGGTCTCCTCTCAGCCTTCTCTTCTCCAGGCTAAAGAGTTCCAGGTCTCTCAGCCTTTCCTCCTAAGAGAGGTGCTCCAAGCCCCAGTCATCTTTGTTGCCCTCCACTAGACTCTCTCTAGTAGTTCCCTGTCTCTCCTGAATTGGGAAGAATGACCTCCCTCCACCTACTGGCCACACACTTCCTTATGCAACCCAGGATTCCACTGGCCTTCTTGGTGACAAGGGCACATTGCTGGCTCATGGATACCATCTACCAGGAGTCCCAGATCCCTCTCCTCAGAACTGCGTTCCAGCAAGTCCTCCTCTAACCTATGTTCACATATATCACATGCAGATAACTTTATTAAAATATAAGCTAAATAAATTCAGGATCAAATGTTTCATCTGTTCAGAGATGGCTTCTCTCTAAGCCCTGTGCCGTAAATGTCACTGTGATCTGTGAGTATGTGTGCAGCATGACCCAGTGTGAGACTGAGAGCAACATCCCCAGCAGTGCTACCGTCATTTTGGAGCCTGCATTTCAAGGACAAGCAACGCTCAGCATTTGAATATGAAACTCTTCAGATTCAAATTGCTATGGCAGTTATCAAGTAGCAAATTAGAAATGCATCCTAGGACTGGATAAATTATAGAATCAAATTTCCAGATTCCCAGGAGCATTCCAAGCCTTTGAAAGCCTGCTCTTGCAGTGAGCAGACACTCACAGACGGATCTTGAAGTTGCTTGCAACAGCAAGTTAGAAACATAAGTCAGGATGTCTCCTCCTCTGCATTGTTACCTACACACAAAAAGAGGAACACATCTTTCCCTCCAGTCTTACAGTCAGGGTCTACTTCTGTAATGGTCGTGTTTCTGTGACACTGTTATAAAACCAGCCTCAGCCTCCATCTGCCTGCCTGGGGTCCAATCCTGAAAACTGCCCTGCAGCAAAGCTGGCAGCAAACCCAAACACTCATCCTGGAGAGAGGAAACCCCGCACGCAGAAGCTCAGTGAGGTACCTTAGAGAATCCAGGGCATCTCTGATGGCATCTGCAAAGTTTTTGTCTGTTGGGACACTGAAGTACTCGCGGCAATAACTCGGTCTGACTCCAAGGATTTCGACCTCGCAACCTACAAGCAAAAAATCAGGTAAGCTCTGCTGTTTCACCTTGATCACAGACCCCACACCATGGGGTACAAATTCAGGTTTGTACATTCCCTGTGATGTTACCTTACGCCTTCCTGGCAGGAAACCTTGTGGTTGGGAAGGAAAAGGGGAGCGAGGTTGGTTTGATGAGTGGTTGTTGCAAACTGTACATTGGATCCTTTTATTTCCCTCTCAAAAAGGAAGTTCTCTGTGCGACCTTCCCATGACAAACCTCTTGATTCCCTTGTGGCAGAGGGTTTCCACCTAAATCGCCACCCTCTTTTCATTTTAACTACTATGGCCACATCGCCTCATTTCCAGGCTTCCAACATAATAGATTTAGATATTGTTCCCTGAAAGTTCAGCAAATACTTTCCAGTTAGACACGCTGTTTCTTACGTTGTAATATCCTCTATAAACCACATATTATTATGTGATACTGGCACTCCACTAGTAAATCTGTTTCCCCGGAGGTCTTATTAAAACACTATAAACCAATTAATTCACTTGGTAAGTTGCAGCCTTCCTTGCAAAATACAGTCTCTTTTGTGGCCCAGAAATTTATGGCAACAAATTCTACAGAAGAACATGACCCTGAACATGCAAAAACATGTTTTTGTGAGGTTTTTTTCCCTTTTGCTCTCTGGTTACTCTTCTGCTGAATAACATAAATATTTTAAAGACTTTAGCTTTCACAAACACTGGATTAATGCAAATTCTCTTTTGAGACCCCTCTCATCACAGTTAGGCTTTTTTTGGTGTGTATTCCTAGGGCACATGAAAAAGATCTTTTGCTAGATGGCCTCTGTGTACAGCCATACAGTCAAGTAAAAAAGACAACAACAAGCCATAGCCTGAGTCTGCCTACATTTGGGTCAATTTGCTCTCTTTTGGAATGAAAGGAATAGGCTTTAAGGGCTGTCATGAGTTGACTTGTTGCTTGGGAGGGAAAAAGGTTGCACAGGAGGTGTAAATACTGAGTGGGGACTAGAGCAAGCAGAGCTACTTTCAGGGATGATTCACAGTGGTTTGCTTACTGGGACACTCAGTGAAGAGCACTTGTCAGTGCCTTGCATCTCAGCCCACGTGAGTTCACATTGCTGAGGTGCAATACTGGGACACAGGGAAAAGCACGTCACTTCCAGGCTAAGCTGGCTAAGAGACTTCTGATTGAGGCTTCACAGGAGTATAATGAACAGTTAGAAAAACTGAAATATTTAAGCTTAGGAAATTTTTTTAAATCTTCACTGATTTCTAGAAAGCCAGATAAGTCCAATGGAGGTTACCCTTCCTGAAAGTTAAAGAGCCCTAGCACACATGACAGATTCAGTCTCATCACCCAGTGGTCCATGGTAGGGGCTTCCAGGTCTCCATATTCTTTGTAAGAATTAATTATTTACAATAATTTTGCAATAATAACCAGAAAATGTAGTCGACTAATTTACTTTGCATAGTTTTGAACCTCCATGTAATACTTGTTTTTATAAAACTTGTGGGAGTGTGTGATGGTGCTCACTATTTGTTTATTCCCTGTTGCCCTAAATTTATATGGCTTAATCCTCCCCTTTCTGCAAGAAGATACTTTAGAGTTTATCTCTCCACCATGAAAGTAGTCTACAACCTGGATGAACAGCCTGCAGATCACTTGACAAGAACTGACTCTCCATACCTCCCCCCAGTAAAACTTCTACATCTGTATGCAGCACCTTCAAGCAATTGTGCTGTGCAGGAGAGGCACAGCTGCTGCCTAAACAAATTATCCAAAAAATTTATTCCATGAATGATCCAAAGCCATCTCTGGGAGGCAGGAGCTGTTGCCCCTGCCCCGAGGGCATGCAGCTTCCATATTTTGTATGATGTCCTGGGTGCTACTAGCAGCAAAATGTGGGGTTTTAGCCAGCTCAGGTGCTCAAGGTGGTGCAGTAGTCCTCTGTGGGCTTTTCTAGTATTTCAAGACTCAGAGGGAACTTCAGAGTTGATTTCTCCTCTAACACTTGAGTCTAGGAAAAGACTGGCTCCAAAGCCAGATTTAAGGACACATTTGGAAGCACATTGGAAATTATTACTGTGTGAATTTGGGTGGATGATTGCTCATAGTCAATGACTAATATGATGATTTAGCCTCTTTATCTGTCTTTAGATACTGACATCAGATTATAATTTTCTTATATATCATTCCTCAGAATTACTCACTACATAATTATAACCAGAAGCACTAACCTCTTGGGGATGTGGGATATTTTAGTTGCTCAGGTATCTTTGCTATTTCTAGACTGTAAAGTGGTGAGCATGACAAAAAAGACTACAGAGGCACCAACAATTAGAAATCATTTTGGCCACTAAATATTGGTTAGATATTTTGGTCACTAAATAGGCTACTTTGATACCAAAAGCTGCCTTCTTTTTCCTCATCTTCTTTTTTAAAAATTTATTTTAATTTATTTTTAAATATTATTTTTATTTTTAGCCTCTGTGATGAACAGAACTTAAAATATTAAATTTTTTTATGTTAAGACTTGTTACAATTCCAAAACACTGGCCATGAAGACCCTTTAATATTTAAATTTATTTTTGGCAAAGGCTAGGACAGGTGGTAAATTTTGTCATTTAAATATTATGGGAAAGGAAATTTTAAAATATTTGGAGCCAGACAAAAGGAATGCTAAGTTTTTCTTTGTTAAGATAAGTTGTATTTACTAAGATGTGACATTAGATACCTTTCTGCACAGTTTTGTATACACTAAACCTTTACTTAAAAACCTGAACTGCTGGAGCAGGAATAAAGACTTCTTTCACAGTGATATATAGGCTCTTCTTTATCTATCTGACATGGAGACCTGTATCTCTGCCAGCTTTAAACTGCATTTCTAAACATCGATTTAACAGTTGGACACTTTCTGTCATAACAGAAAGTTTTGAAAGCTTTCCAAACTAGCTCCAGGATCTGGTAAATGTTATGTCTAAATGGTGAAAGGTTGGGTTTAGAGTCTTTTTTTATCCCTTCCTCTCACTGCAGTGTTGAGAAAAGATGTCACTGCACTTAAGCTGAAGCAGTTGCATAAACTGCTGAAAAATGAAGAAGTGTGAGGGTCTGGGGGGACGTCACCCACCGGGCTGAGCGTGAGGAGTGATATGAAGCTCTGACTTCGGTGGTACCGCTGGGGTGCTCCCGCACTCCTCTGGGCCTTCTCCCTCTGCTGAAGCACCAGCTTCAGACAGGCAACCCAGGCCTGAGGCTGTGCATTTCAGCCCACGTGCAGCATGACCTGTTGCGTTTTACTTCACAGATGGCCAGAGGATACATGACTTTTTCACAAGGACCTCCTTGAGGAGCAGAAACTGCCTGATAAACGCCATGAAGAAAGGAGAAAAATGTCCCTACCAGCCAAGTACTTGTGTTTTTGCACAAGTGGTGTCTGGAACCCCTGCAAGGTGCTGTTTTGACTCCTCCACTTCTAGAAGCAGGAGAGCTCAGACTAATTCTGCCCATGAGTTGTCTTTGCTGTGTTTATGTTGGACTCAGATAAGCTGTGATGGATGGGTGTTCGCAACTGGCAGCCCTCATGCTCTGTCCCTGTTTGCTGGGGTCTGGATTCTCTTCCTTTAAGCACTGAATATTCATGAGAGAGGAATATAGGGAAGAATACGAAGCAGTGGACTTTGGGTTCAGATTTTGCAAAGCTTGGAACTGGCTCTGAGGAGGAAATGGCAGCGGTGTAAATTAACCTTGGGAATCAGATTGCTGGCATTCACAACATTC